TTAAGAGTCAAAAATGTGTAAAACAAGGAGTTGCCACCTTACTCAAATAATGGTAGAATAGGCCATTGTTGGTCTACAAGAGATTAGAGTTTTGGGTGCAATTAGAAGTGAGAAAATGTATACATGCACTTCAAAATCCTTGGTAGAAATTATAGTTGCATACTTTAACATTTATAGGGATTATGTGGTGTAATAGTTAAAATTCAAGGAATAGTGGATAGTGGCTAGGGATGTCAATAGGGCCTCGCGGGGCCGGGGAGTGCCTCCCTGTCCTCGTGGGGATTTTTGACGGGGGGCAGATTTTGCCCCCCGTCCCCGTTCCCCACCAATTAATAACAAAATATATATTTTTTGCATCAAACATAAATAAAAATTAATTTAACACAAATAATTAAATCAATAAAATTATTTCAAATAGAGATTAATCCAACATAAAGCAACATGTTCCAAACATAAGTTGTTCCAAATATACATAGAAATTAATCCAACATAAAGCAACATACTTGTTCTAAATATAGGCAAAAATCAACCCAACATAAATAAAATAACTAAACTAAACCAACATTCAACATGAAGGGAAGCAGCCAAGAACCAACTCAAAACACTTTAACTCTCAAAATCCACAATTGCTCATAGAAAGACCTACAATACAATTAGTAAATACTTTATGTTAACATATTTATAAAAAAGCTGTTTATATCATTAGTATAAAAAAGGGTCATACATATTTACCTCTGAATTATTGTCTTCATCGCAATCCACATCCTCATTTTGAGTAAAGAAACATATATCATCCAAAGAACCTATTTCAAATATGAAAATTTAAATTAAAAATTAACTACTTAATTAAAGAACAAAAAATATATATATGTAAAAAAAAATAAAAGAAACATAAACTTAATACCTTTGTCCTTATATGCTTCGACAAAAGCTCTATCAAAGCTGATGGCAAGTAGTTATTGCCACATGCATCTTTGCTAAGTATACGTAATTTTATTATTTCATTTGTTGTAACGTGTAGGAATCAATGAATTGTACTGTCCTTGTAGGTGTTGGTAAAATTAGGAGGAAAAAGGATGAACATCTCAGCTATAGCTGTGTGTGTTTTGTGTGTGGTTTTGATGTTTGGTTTCACATAACGAAAGAATTAAGATTCAATGCTGGAGAAAATTATTGTAAAGGATTGTCTAAAGATGGTTAGATTCACTTTTAAATCTAGTAAATTCTAAAAAATCCAAACTTTCTCTATGTTAATTCAACCATAATCAAATTATTAAACTTCTTACCGTTGGATGCAGCACAGGCAGCAAGTAGAGGGTCCGGCATAGGAGGCAGCAAGCACAGGAGGCAGCAAGCAGAGGGTCCGGCACAGGAAGCAGCAGCAAGCAGCTCCAACAGTAGACCTGTAGGCTGTAGTAGATCTGTAGCAGCAAGAAGGGGTTATGGATGAAACCAAGAGTGAGTGAGGGGTTGTGGCTGCGTGCGTGAGTGAGGAGAACAGGGGAAATGAATAAAGTTATGAAATTAGGGTTGGAAGGGGGATTAATTA